ACATAAGGTTGTTCTTTCTCCACTACCTCTCGACTTTCATCTTCCTTTTCTTCTGGATCATTCACCACTTCAGTCGGTTTATCCGGTTTTTGGTACATGGCTGGATTGTCAAGTCTTGGATCGGTAGGTCCGTCAAGTTCCTTGCCACTTCTTAATATTACAGCGTTAGCATGTCCTTTCGGATTAGGTTGAGGTTGTCCAGGGAATACTCCAGCTGGTGCAGCAGTAGGCGCTTGTTGTTGAGCTACTTGTGAAATCTGAGTTTCAAGCATTTTGTTATGGGTAGCTAATGCATCTACTTTGCTCACTAATTGTTTAATCTGCTCGCTAGTGTGAATGTTTTGGTTTAGGAAGTCCTTGTTTGTCTGAGATTGGCTAGCTATAAAGCTCTCCATCATCAATTCAAGGTTCGATTTTCTAGGGATATTAGGAGCAGTCTTTTGATATCCTGGTGATGTAGCTGGTGCTTGACCTGGTGCGTAATAAGCATTGTTACTCTTATAGGAGAAATTCGGATGATTCTTCCAACCTGGGTTGTATGTGTTTGAGTAAGGGTTTCCTTGAGCATAATTCACTTGATCAGTGGGAGTTCCTGCCAATAGTTGACAATCAGAGACTTTGTGTCCTGGGACTCCACATAACTCACAGTTAGGTGTTACGGCAGCCACGGTGGCTGCAGGTGTTATGGCCAAGTTGTCGATCTTTTGGCTTAGTTGGTCAAACTTCGCATTGACTTGGTCCATACTACTTACTTCGTACATACCTCCCTTTGTTGGTTTCTCAGTTGCGACTCTCTCGCTTCCCCAAAGGTAATGATTCTGAGCCATACTTTCGATAAGTGCATAGGCATCACTATATTCTTTGTCCATCAATGCACCACCCGCGGCAGCGTCAATTGTCATTCTTGTATTGTACAAGAGTCCATTATAGAAGGTATGGATGACCATCCATTCTACTAATCCGTGATGTGGACAAAGCCTAAGTAGATCCTTATAGCGTTCCCAAGCTTCGAATAATGATTCACTTTCTCTTTGCTTAAATCCGTTGATCTGAGCTCTCAGCATAGCTGTCTTGCTAGGTGGAAAATACCTGTTCAAGAAAACTTTCTTAAGTTGTTCCCATGTAGTTACTGAGTTTGAAGGCAGAGATTGAAGCCATGCTCTTGCTCTGTCTCGAAGCGAAAAAGGAAATAAACGTAGTCTAATAGCTTCTTGGGTAACTCCATTGGCTTTTACGGTATCTGCATATTGCACAAAGATCGAAAGATGAAGATTCGGATCCTCGGTAGGATTTCCGGCGAATTGGTTTTGTTGCACGGCTGATATCAATGATGGTTTTAGTTCGAAATCGTTTCGGTTGATAGCCGGCGCTGCAATGCTTGAATGCGGTTCACCTTGCGAAGGATTAGCGTAATACTTGAGTGGATGAGTTTGTTCTTCAGCCATTCCTGCGTTTTCTGATTTTACGGCTGGTTCAGGCGGATCTAATTGAAGATCTGGAATGTTGGAATTATTTTCGAAATCGAGTATACGTCTTCTTACGTGTAAGAAGCGTTCCGATTCAGGGATTAGAGGTTGCAAGTCTTCGCTTTTGGAGCGAGTACGTGACATACACTCGGAGATTAGATTAAATTAAATAGTTGATACCTTAGTCTAGACAATGCTACCTAAGTGCACTAGTAACTAAATTAAGGAATCCCCGGCAACGGCGCCAAAAACTTGATGGGCTAAAGACGTGTCTGCTTAATGCGTCTAGCGGTATCTTACTGCAAGTGCACAACCTATCGAAGTAATATTTAAGATTATCGATCCACAGGGATTCTATCGTTACGTAGTGCTAGATGAACTTCTAGTTTAGCTAAGGCGAATAGTTGTCACGATTGTTGTTGGTTTTCTAAGACTATTGAAGGCGGAATAAAATCTAAGTTTTTAATAAAATAATACTAAAACGGTCGGTATGTAATTATACTTACTTAGGCGGGTCAATCTAACCTAGGCTTATAAAGATGTTCACTTAATCTATTCGGTAGAGATTACTAGTTTGAATACCCTCAACTCACACTCTCATGGTCTTGAATCAGATCTTATCCCTAAAGCCCTATGCCTGCTCTCGCTAGCCCATAAGTGTTTAGAGATAATTTTTGGAAACTAAATAATTCTAATTTATCTTAAAGCGCTCTCGCTGTATTTAATTTAAATGCGTAACTTTAGCTATCTGGTTAAAATCTCACACTCTCGTGGTCTTGACCCAACCTAATACCCTTTTCTTACTCTCGTAACGAAAAGGTCGAATTCAATTAAAAAGCATCAGCCAGAATGTTAAGCGATTAATTATTTTAGCCCATGGTTATATTTTACCGGTTAAGTTAGTTATAACTACATACCGCCCTAAGGTATTTAGCTACTCATCGAGGTTAAATCAGACTCAGAGTTAATTATTGACTTACTAATGGCAGAAAAATAAATAGACATTATAAATAAATTAAATTGCAATAACTGAAAAACCTGATTAACAAATATCTGAGTAGACTCCTTCTTCCACAGACCGGAAGGCTTGGAGTAGGCGGAAATAAAAATTAAAACGAATGCTGAAGGCTGGAAACAAATAAAAGTATAACAATTCCCTAATGTTGGAAATTGTTACACGGTTGGTTTGGATACAAATAAAATAAGGCAGAAAATAAAATGCTGGAAATAATAATTCTGATGGTAAGGTAATTCGGCAGAGCTTCCGCAGGAAATTTGGATACTCAAATCTCTCTTGAATCCTCCTGAGCTGGTCCTATTTATAGAGCTTCCAATGGGCTGGTCCTTGGTCTTTTGCTTCTTGGGCTTTGCTGAAGTGGTTGAGAAAATGTTGGAAAGTGGCAGCAGAAAATGGGAGAAGTCTCCCTCACGTGCTGCCTTGAGGAGAATTACCAGGAGGAGTGGGCATCACTGGTGGCTTGACGTAGTCTGAGTCAAAATTCAAGTTATATCCTTGTCACGGGCGTGACAAGGTCTTCACGCTCGTTGTTTGATGATTTCAAGTGTCACGGTCGTGACTACTTCCTCACGGTCGTGATGGCCCAAAGTAAGGTGTCACGGTCGTGACACCCTTGTAACGACCGTGGCCGTAACAAATTATGCAGAGTTTATGCAGGCTTCTGTCTTGCTTCATTTCTTGTGGTTTCTTTGTTCTTTTCTTCTTAATTCATGATTTGGCCTCACATATCGATGTACCTGCAAAATAGTAAGAAAAACTCGAGGAATCGAGCGTTAAAACGGTGAATGCGCGGTAAAAGTCAATGAAATCTAGCGATATAACCGATGCGTTTTCTCGTCATCAAACAACAAAGACAAACCCATTTTATAACGAAAAAAATAGAAAGTTTAATGTGTTGGAATTCGAACTCTTACACTCCATGTACATTTCACCACAACTGTTAACTATGATCTTAGTGAAATGTCTTATAGTACATAGCAAAAAGAAAAAGCGCTAAAAAAAGAGTTACTATCCCGGTTAATAGAAAGACCGTTGTAATGTTGTGTTATAACAAAAGGTATGTTTTGTAGTAGTGACTCACCACTTCATTTCGTCCAAAAAATCTACTCAAAAGAGTTTGCAATTTTTCTACAAAATTTGTAGTTGAGAAAGTTTACAATTTTTTCATTCAAAATTTGTAGTTGAAAGACCAGTTTAAAATTTTCTCCTTGTAAAAATTGCAATTGTATGAGAGATTTGTAATTTTGTCGTTGTAAAAATTTACAGGTTGATCAATTAAATATTTTTGTTGAGATATTGTGGTTGTAGGTACCAAATGTTGGATCGTAATAAATTTGTGAATTGTATTTTTGTTAAATTTGTTGTTTATTTTATTTCTTTGGTGGGAATGCTTTCGTGTGGGTATATATATATATATATATATATATATATATATATATATATATATATATATATATATATATATATATATATATATATATATATATATATATATATATATATATATATCAAGTTAAGAAGCAAAATTCTTATATTTAAAAGTTATATGTCATTCATTTGAAGAGAGATTAACTATTTGTGTTTTTCTGTGTGCTAATATTGTGCCTGCATTGAAGTCGGATGTTACTTTGATGTGGGAATGAAATTCTTCTTAGGACAATGTACATTTCCAAAGTAAGGATTTAAATGTAAAGATTAAAAAAAAAAAGAATAAAAAGTGCTAATTTTGTCATTATAATGATCTAAAATTCTTTTTTAAAAAATTGATACAAATTGATTAATCATTATATTGATCTAAAACTCTTTAAAGATAAAATTGATGAGAACGTGAAGAAATGTAAAACTTTGGATGAATAGAGTTAGTATTAGAATATGGCATTATCATTTTTTTAATTATTCTAAAATAAAGTCTTTTTTTATTGGTCTAGAAAATAAATTTTTTAAATCTTAAAAAAAATTAAAAATTTAATTTTACAAAACAATTTTTACAAAAAAAAAATCACATTGGAAAAGGCTTGAATCAACTATTTTTTCTTGTTAGTAATTATATTATTTATTGACTTGCCAGTTGCCACCATCATTATTACCACCAAATTTTTGTCAAAAAAATCAGATTCCTTCAAACTTAGGATATAGCATGATATGAACCTAAGTAGAAACTATGCCATAATAGTAACTAACGTTTCCATTGTCTTCACATGCAAAATCCAAACACCAAATCTCCAAAATAAAATTTAATACCATAAGCAAACAAAGCAAAAAAACGAGTATTTTGCCATTAACCATAATTATACTAGTACTTAGAAAAATACAAACATTTATAAACGATATTTACCATGCTTTTATTTTCTTTAGGCATCTCCGTCTCATATTCATTATCACCATCCCAATATATATATAGATGCAAACCCTAAAGTTATATACAGAATCATGAGTTCATTAAACTCATTATGCTAGCTCTTACTTGCTTTCATGACATAACATTAATTCTTGTAATAATTATCATAATCATAATAATGGGTGCTAAGCTTTGTACTCTATCAGGGTTATCTTTCAAGGATTGTATCAAACCTAAACAAAACAGAACTTTCAAAATGAAGAAAGTGAAGAAATTGGGTTTTGTAGAAGATTGGATATTAGATTCTCAAGAAATGAAACAGTCCAAGAAAAAAGTGCACCCTTGTTCAACTCGGTTTCGTGGTGAACTAGCTAAGGACAGTTTATGTTTAAGCTTAGTGGAAAAAACCAAGAACCGTCTTGAAGAAGTTAATGAAGGGTTAGCCTCAGATTGTTCATTGGTTGCAGAAAAGTTATGTGGTAAATCGCAGAAGATTAATAGAGTGAGGTTTAAACTTCCTCATACTGTTATATATTACAAACCAGAAGAGTCTTATTATGAAGAAGAAGATGAAGAAGAAAGAAGAGAAGGATTGTTGAAGGCTTATTATGATAGTGAAGAAGACTCGTTTTCATCACCTAACTGGAGGGAACTGTATTCATTTGAAACCACTGAGGAACCTATTTTGAAACTAGCAGTGGATGTTCTTCCTCATGTATTTGTCTCTTCCAAAGTTTCAAATTGATCATCAATGAAGAACATGTATTGTCTTGTCTTGTCTTGCATGCATATTGGTTTGTTGTGTCTTTGATTATTTTTATGTTTTGATTAAAATTTCTATTGGAGCAACATAATTTAATCCAACTTGATATTTCCTAAATATTCGTTCCTTAGCATGTGCTCGTTTACCACTCAAGGTCAAATACTTGGTTTGTTTATTACTCATTTTATTATTAAAATAATATAAAATATAATTATGAGAAGTGAGTTCTACAATAAAAAAAATTAAAAGTCAAAATTAAAATCTTTCACTAAAGTAATAAGAATTACACAAATGAAAGAATTCTCTCGTTTAAAGTTTTAGAAGACACAACATTTTATAAATGAGTTTTTGGAGACTTTGTGAAAATTCACTGCCTCGAGTGTTAGAAAGCGAAAAGTGTCAAACACAAATAGTATAACAACTTGTTGATTGTTAGAATAAATTCTTCATGTTTGGTCACATTATTCGAATCGACTTTGTGAGTTGTTTTTCTAATAAATAACTTTTAGTCCTTAGTCTCATAAATGAGAAAACTCTAGTCAAGTCTACACGTGTTTGTCTCCCTCCTATTGACTCGTACACCAAGACATATGTTGGCCTAACTGTCGATCTTGTCTCTTATGAGTTAGTTTAGAACTTCGTAGGTGCCTTTTTCTTCAAAAAATACTCCCGCCAGCTAAAATTTATCAATAATGACATTTCTAACAAAGTCACACCGATATTTAAAGCGTGAAACTGCCTACAATGATATGGGTGTTCCCCAAAAGTATCTCATAACACATTAAGATAAACCATGCAAACCTCATGAATAGAAAAATAAGGAAATCATAAGACAAAATATAAGAATAATATTGTAATGGGATAATTTTAATGAGTCATAAGAAGGAAAGTTCATGAGTACATGATATAAGCCTATTGCCTCAACACTAGTTAAGGGGCAAAGCTGGCGATAGGCCTCCCTACACGGGGCATGAAGTCGCCCATCGTGTGGTGGTAGAAGCTTATTGCCTCAACACTAGTCGAATCACCAGTATGCAGGAATTCAACCACATGCCTATCACTTGAGATCGATACCCTTTCTAGAGCAAAGCAGGAGTCGGGACGTTTCGGCCCCAGTGTTAAAAAAGCACCTCACTAGAGCATTCAACAAGTGCTATTCCTTGGTCTTAAGGCTTCAACTCTCATCCTCAAGCTACTTCCCCGATGAAGCCGAAAGTCCAATAACACATCGGTGGGTAAACGTGCAGCGGGAGGTTTTGACATCTCGTCCAACCGAAGGAGACAACTTAAATACACCCTCTCAAAGCTCTAACGGAGGACACCAACTAAAGACTTGGGATAGTGTTTGTCCATAATAGAGTTGCCATTGAAGGTCTATCTATCTAGTCATTTTGTTGTTTCTTTGTAACATATTCAATTCATTATTAATATAAATATGTGCACATCTTCTCTTTCTTCCTATGTTGTATGCTTCTTTGTCTTTCTTTCTTTTAGAGTTATAGATACAGGGGTAACAAACATGAAGTGCATGATTGTTGTATTACCTCGAAAAATTAGAACGACCTCGCAAGGCTCAAATGCACGCTCGCGGGATGGACATAACATAGTCGCCACCGAAATTTATTAATTCTCAAAGAGGGAAAATGAAAATATCAATAAAATCCCTAAATGAAAGGATAAGATATGGTCATCGCAACCAAATCAAGGTTCAGGAGTCGATTACGCAAAGAGAAGGTATTAGCACCCCTCATGTATGTTGCACTCAACAAGAACCGTTTGATTAGTTGGGTGTGTTAGTGTTTGCTTAGAAATGTTAGGCTTCTCAATCATTGAAAAGGAAAAGAAAAGGACAAAACGGTTTTATTTTTATTAGGGTGCTCGCCAAAACTTTACAATCTCGTGCTTATGTATCCTCATAATGCAATAAAAAAATCAGAGCAATCGTAGTTATGGGTAGAAAATATTTGTTTGTTGCTCGATTCTAGTGAAAAATACTTAGTCGCATTCGACAGAAAATATTGTTTTACACAAAATAGGCAAGGAACGGACGTTCGCATCACAGTAGAATAGATTTACAAATCAACATTCGTGAGGAACACCACTTATCTCAACTTAAATAGTTGTGGACGAAGCAATGTTTTGCATCATCTCAAGACACAATGTTTATGAAAGGGTTTAAAATATTGCGCGGCGGTGAGAAAAAAGAGTTTGATGTGTTGAAGTATTTTTGAATTGATGAGAGAGTTCAGATGGTCGAGAACTACATCTCGTGTCATCCTTCTCACGAGATCGTTGACTATACCCCGCTTCTTTTTCATCTTATTTGAGAAAGAGTTTCGATATTTTTATGTATTTTGAAATATGATTGAGAAAAAGCATTCGAAGCTAGTCGAAGTTTAATATGTGTTAAATTGATTAGGATGATGAGAGCTCGAACCATGAGAACTACATCTCAGATCCTCACTCTCGGGAGATCTTTGACTACACCCGCTCCTTTTTTATCTTTTTATTGAAAAGTGTTTAATAGTTGTTAAGTGTTTTCGATTTTTTATTTGGGAAAATGGACTTGACGTTAGATCAAGTGTTTGACGATCGTTTTAAAAATGGTTGGTGCGAAACTTTGAAAATAATTCTGAACGGGTTGAAAATAGTTTGAAGAAACTATTATGAATGAGTTGATATTTTATTAACAAAGTCAAAAGATCAAAGTTGATTAAATCACTTAATTAAATTAATCCAAATTAATTATCAAAATTATTTGATTAAAACTTAACGTAATAAAATAATTAGGTTAATTAAAATTGATTAATAAAATTAAATTATTGGAATTTGATTAATTGATTAATTAATCTAATTAAAATTAATTATCAAAATTATCTGATTAAGTCAAATAATCAAATTAATTAAAATTGATTAGCAAAACTAAATGATTAAACCAAATTTTAAATTACTCAATTAATTAATTAAAAAAAAGTAAACAAAAGACAAGCGCAAAAAGATTGAATCAAGTAAATCGCAATATGCTCAAAGCCGATTTGTACATAGAGACCACATAACCGAAGTGTCGTACGTAAGGACTGAAATGCGGCGAAAATACCAAATTAATGTGTAAAATATTTTTTGTGACATAACGGTATCAAGTTACTTAATCCATGAATTAGAAAAAAAAATTTATTCATAAAAAATTAAATAGAAATAATGTAAATTTATTTATATTATAGAATCAATACAAAACTCAAAATAAAGAGAAAACTAACAAGCATAAAGTAATCAAATTGACAAAAAAAATGCAACAAAGGCAGAGCATGATGCTTCATAATGGCACACAGACTCCTTCTATTTCAAAAGAAACACCAAATTATGAGTAAAAAAACTAGGATGAGATGGGTTTTATTAATGTAAGTTCCGTGATTTTTGGATCCTCTGATGTGTGTTAAGGGTGTTTTAGGCAAAATTTGGCAAATGGGGAGATTGTAAGTTCTGTAATTTTTGGAATGGCTACATTATGGTAAAACAACATGTTGTTAGCAAGATGTTAAACCATATGTTCTGCCATGATAGTCAAACATCATGTCCAGTATAATGTTGTGACATGTTCCAAGACATGTTGTTGTACCCAAAAATTTGTCCTTCCGTTTTAACCTTAACTGACTTTTGTTTCTTTGCATTTTCGCATTCCTGCATAGCATAGCATTTTCTCTTGAGGCATGAGATCAAGGTTTTTCTGTGGCTCAGGGCTCTTTTAGTGCAAGAGACTGAACAATGAGCAACAACAACTCTGGAATTTATTTTGCCCAGCGGTCGAGCGGCCGATTTTATTTTTGTTTTGTAGGATATTTTAGCTCAGCAGTCGGCACTCAGGCTATCTCGAGCATTCTCAGGGTTAAAGCATTCAAAGGTAAGTTTCAGAGGCTTATCAGGACCTAGAATAGTTGAAAACGGGCAAGTGTGCATATTTCCCTCCAAAAGGAGGCAAATTCAAAATTTTGAAGGTGTTAATCGATTAACCAAAGCAAAATCAGGCCAAATTTGAATTTTTGAAGGTATTAACCGATTAACCAAATGGTTAATCGATTAACCAGTGCAAATTTCTGCTATGCACGTGAATTTTCAAGAGAAGTCATTTTGGGGTCCAAATTTGATCACATGAGAAGTTGATTTTACACTTAGGAAGGATCTAGAACCACTTCAAATTTTGGTTAATTTCATTTTCCCTCCAAACTCTCATTCCTAATCCCATTCCATATTTTCACAAACCACATTCCAAACCTCATTTGGATCCAAACCTAAGAGGTATTTAATTGATTTACTCCAAATCTCACTAGGACAATCCTCATAATTTCATTCTCATTTAAGAATTCACTTTCATTCTCTCTAGATTCTCTCGACTTTTTCTCACCAAAACTCCATTACAGCTCTTTCTTGGAATTCTTTGATTCTCCATTGGAATCAATGAATTCTTGAGCTCTAAACTTCATCCATCATCCTCATTGAATCAATTTCTTCATCCAATTTTCGTGCAAGCTTGGATATGAGTTTTGAAGTGGATCTAGAAGTGATTATTTGGATTATTTCGGCTTAATTTTGGTGGATCTCCATTATTGCTACAAGAACTCAAGTGGATCTTGAAAGAATTCTGGATTTCTTGCTCGGATCTGTGCAATTGAGATTGAATCAACATTAACCGAAGCAATTCTCCTCTTTGAAGGTTGGAATTCTAGATCCATTATTATTTCGAGCTTATTGTGCATTATCATGTGGATCTTCATTTTTTATTGACTTTTGGTTGATTTGATTCATATGAATTGTGATTGTGCTGTTTAAATGCATTTACATGAGGATTGAATCCCTGTTTTCTAGTTTAATTTCGTGCTTAATTGGTTGTATGATCATTGGAGTGATTGCACCTTGGATAAGTTGCTGAAAAGTGCTTTTTAACTGCTGTCTTCTGCTGTTGGAATAGTGTTAATCGGTTAACCAAT